CTGGATGACTTTACTTTTAATTACAAAGATAATAAGAAATATGAATATAAGATAAATATATTTACCAAGCACCACTGTTAATCAGCTCTAATATAATATAACGTCTATCCCCGTAAAGGGTTTAGGGCCGAGTGTGCATGGAAAACATTTAGTCGCGGGAAAGGTAGTAAAAAGTTATTAATAGAAATAGAACTGGTCAAACAGAAAATGGTCAAGTACGTCACAACAAGTAAACATAAATACTCACACGTGGACATTCACACATGAACATCACAAACGTAAACACACACAATAGAAATAATTATAAAATAAAACATTGAAACTGACACATTTAATTACTTACACTGATTTCATATACTTGAAATCTTAGTAATGAACTTGAACATCCTAACATTACTTGAATTAATATAATATCAATCGCAGTTTTGTCGCTGCATTTAATTCTAATGCACGAAGAATGTTTATATCAATATACCGTTCATTCTGACTTTTTTAACAGAATATGAATGTCACAATACTAGAGTAGATAAGTAGCTGTTCTTCCTGACACGTTTCTGTAATAAGTGAAATGCTGAATAAAATAACAGTGTGCATCTATGTCACCTTTTAGATCTTGTATATCCCAAATATAAAGATACTTTTATGTAAACGCGATTACGTTCAATATATGATGTTTTAGTCATAAATAACGCTATAAACACAACATTTTGGACTCGACATCAATATTGCAAAGACAAAGATCCTTAGAGCAAACACACCATCACATGCTTCATTAAACATAAAAGGAAAGGAAATAGAGGAAGTAGAACATTTCACCTACCTTGGCAGTATAGTGGATCAACAAGGAGGAACGGATGTGGACATAAAGGCAAGAATAGGAAAGACCAGAGTAGCATTCCTGCAACTTGGAAACATCTGGAAGACCAAGGGAATTACAACACACACCAAAGTTAGGTTTTTAACAGCAATGTTAAGGCTGTGCTCCTCTATGGTTCTGAGACATGGAGGATGACCATTACCACAACCGATAGGATCCAGACATTCGTCAACTCTTGTCTGAGACGCATCCTCCAGATTAGATGGCCCGACAAAATAAGTAACATCAATTTGTGACAAAGAACAAACCAAGTCCCTATAGAAGAAATAATGCAGAGAAGCTGGAGGTGGATAGGGCATACTCTACGCAAGCCCCACAATATCATCACAAGGCTAGCCCTATCCAGGAACCCCCAAGGAAAACGTAGGAGAGGTAGGCCAAAGAAATCTGGCAGAGAGATTTGGAGGCAGACGTCAAAAGAATGGACAAGAACTGGAAAGAAGTAGAAAACATTGCTCAGCATAAGGGGCCTGGAGGAATCTTGTCAGCGGTTTCAAAGAAAGTGGCTACCATCAGCCACGTACCTCAAATCACTTGACTCGACACTAATCTAGTGTTTCGGCGGTGTGATATATACGAGGTTTTATGATTTTGATAGTTTATTAATTAGCTGCAAATCCGCCATCATCAGGAGCCTATTTGCACATCTGTCATACAGATTATTAAATTAGTAGAAGAGCATATCACTCAGTTTTTATTATGTTTAATGACACAATAGGTTATTCGGGGAGGATTGTATACCAATCCTTTTGCCCCAGAAGGGGTAGCAGGCATAAGTAAGTAAGTAAGTATATGGTAACGCGATTACTTTAAATATATGACGTTTAAGTCATAAATAATGCCATAAACTCAACATTTTGGCAATATAAAAGCAAACTTTAAAATTATTTAGGGAAGAAAAAAAAAAACACCTAGCAAGAAAACATATTGATTTTTTACCTTAATAGTTTTAATTTTACCACATCTTGATATTTTGAAATTTCTGAGTAATTCGTCTACGTCTTTAAAAAGTTATCAGACCTTTTCTAAAGAAACTCTTTCGGTAAAATTGTTTTAAAAACGCTATTTTCCTTTATATTTCTATAGTAAAGCCTAAAATTAGTACCGAAAACTATACCGTTTTTACAATAATATAGCATTAAAACCACTCAGGCAAATTTAATAAAAATTTCAGATAATATGCCGCAAATTCTAAGGAACATTACATCAAATTTTCATGATATGTTTTCATGCAGTAAACCCGCGACCTACCTTTAGATTTAAATAATCTGTATGAGAATAAGACTGTGGCATCATTTTTCTGGTCTTGTAGTGGATTAAAGACCGCAAGAATAAAGATTTCTTAAAAAGTGTGTCAATAAGAACATTCTACTATATTGTCACAAAATACATCATATAGTAGTAAATGGGTATCATTTTACCACCTGATCGATACTTGCCTTGTTGAACAGTCAACAGGTTAACTGGGTACTCATTGACAACATTAGACTCCACTAATTCTTAAGATTTAAAGGGGCTTGGACACAAATTTGGGGTTTATTATTTTCCATTATTTTCAGTATTATATCATGACTTATATATTGCAAGAGCATTTTGCACCGTAATATTATGGTTATAATACAACACTGCAAATGATCCACAGAAGTATAAAACAAAATTAACTAATAGTTGAAGCTATCTTGCACAGGAATTTCAAAAATCTAGTAAAAATAACCTTGCTTATTGCAACGTGCGAGACCCAATTGATCTCTTTTGGATCATACATGGTTTTCCCAATTCTTGCAGGGAAGATAATGAATGCAAAATATACAAATACAATGGACACTTGTCTAGTGTGTAAGGTATTCAATAGATACAGGTAATGTTTTTCTCACTTGCCTAGTGCTACAATTAAGTACACATAGAGAAATCTCTAATGACTGTAATTAACTTGAGTTGATGCCTCTTGGCTAAACAAACAACTTAGCTGTTTGCCACTTTGTAACTCTTGGTACCAACACTTGCCTCTTGGCTATGCAAAAAAAAAAAAAAAAAAAAAAAAAAAAAAAAAAAAAAAAAAAAAAAATTGGTAATGCTTGTTACCAGCACTCGCCACTTAGCTGTATAACACGGCTGTTTGTTTCTTTTCAGTAACTACAACATATCCTCTATCACTTGTTCACTTCAAAATTAAAGCATAAAGCAACTTTATGCAGACTCTTGCCAGCTAACCTCTGATCTCCATAAATTAAAATCAATAGCTTATCAATTGTCAAACAGGACACTTCAGTATACACATAATAAATACCACTGGCCCTTTGCTACATAACTAATCTTTATGTCAATCTTTTATATTGCTTTCCAAGCCAGAATCCGACATTGAGCATCCTTTGCTAGTTTTAACCAAACATTTATCTATTTTGCTTATACATATTTATCACTGTATTTTGTATTCTCATGTAATCAAATAACCAATTAATTAAATTTAATATTAGGGTTTCTTCATTTAACACAATTAAGCAAAGGGGAGTAACTCTTAGTTGTGTCACTTATTTTGTACTCTGTTTGCCTCCTAGATACCTAAGAGCGGAGAAAAGGCACATTTACTTACATTCATATTTATACATTTACATTTATATTATTGTATTTAGTCTGTTTGCTTAAAAATCAAGAGCAGGTGAGTAGATTTTCTAAGTATTTAATGCATTTTTGCTATATACTCAATAGATCCCCTCACAATACAAAATCCCCTGACCAAGGGCCCATGAAATGTTTGGAAAAGGCACCCTTGCTCATTATGATTATGCATTTATTTTGTTTGCTTATGAATAATACCAAGAATTAAAGGAGAAGATTTTCAAAGCATTAATTTTTATTTTTTAGGTATGTATCAAAAAGCCCCCCCCCCCCCCCCCCCGATCATGGGGCCACATCTTTCACAATTTTGGAAGAGACACCCTTCCTTATCATATCTATGCATTCACTTTTTTTTCTTAATTCCAAATTGCAGAGAAAAGGATTTTCAAATTATTAATGCATTTTCACTATATAACCTTAGAGCCACCGCACTAACACCAGAACCCCTGACCAAGGGGCTATGAATTTCAAAATTCAAAAATTTTGGAAGTGTCATCCTTCCTCATCATAACTGTGCATTTAGCTTGTTTCCTTTATACCCAAATGCAGAGGAGAAGAGTTTCAAAGAACCAATGCATTTTCACTATACAATCATTAGAGCCACGCCCTAACACCAGAACCCTTGATCCAGGGGCCATGAAATTCACAATTTTGGAAGAGACACTCTTCGACATCATGACTATGCATTTAGTTTGTTTCCTTAATACCCAGGGACAGAATGCATTTTCACTATATATTCGCTAGAGCCCCACCCTAGCACCAGAACCCCTGACCCTTGGGCCATGAATTTAAAAGTGGCCCAAGGGGGCAGGGGCTATGAATTTTACAATTTTTACTCCCCTTCACCCATAGATGCTATATGCTAAAATTGGTTGAAATCGATTCACTGGTTCGACAAAAAAGCTGAAAATGTTTAACTGTTTACGCACGATGCACGTCGCACGACGACAGACGGAAACAGATAAGTAGTTTTGCTATCTAGTCTTCTTTTATCCTCATAAATTCTTATATATCCTTATAACGAATGCATTAAAGTATTCATAGCGACTTCGCGATATAATTTTTTTTTCCTCCAAGTATAACTATCAAATGTATTTAGGGAAGTATGGAATACAAAATTTACCTGGAGTTCAACATTTTTTGAATGAATAATGTTCTAAATATTTATTCTTACACAATCAATGTCAGTTCAATAATAAAAATAAATGAGTTCTTGGAAAATTTCCTATAAAAGTTGTATATTTTCGTTATTTTTTACCTTCTAAGGGAGACAAAATTAATTTGCTATAACCATAAATTCATTATATCTGAGTTAGTTATATCCATAATATTATACATGGAATTGTTAAGAATTTTGCCGGGGATTGCAAAAAATCTTTGCTATATCCGTACATTCGCTATTTATATCCGTGTTCGTATTAAACAAATTTTTACTGTAGTTTGTTTTTTTTCTTTCAATCCAGCTATACATGTATATGTTCTACTTTTCTTACAGTTTTCATTAGATATGGGTTCGGCCCAAGGACAGGACATCATTCGCTGTCAGATGTGTTCCAACCCTGTAGAACACCACTGCAATCTTTGTCATGTGGACCTCTGCCTCTCATGCATACAAAAACACATGGCTGATAAATCGAGGAAACATGAAGTTGTCGAATACGCGTCAAGAAAACAACAGGCTGCTGCTCTTCCAACCTGTCGCGCACACAAGAAAAACCGATGCGAGACATATTGCAAAGACTGTAAAATTCCAATATGTATTCTGTGTATGATGGGTTCACACAAAAAACATGAATTTACTGATATCAATGAAATTCTTCAAAGACACAAACAACAAATTATAGCCGACATAAAAGAACTGGAAAATACCATTGTTCCAAAATACAGGAACATCAACCCAACCACAACTGCTACAGAGTTTTACAAAGTTCTGTCTGCCATAAAAGAACAGGAGGATGAGATTTGCAGAGCTGTACGTGAAGCGGGACTTCAACTCACTGATGAAGTAATTAGACTGAAAAAAGAAGTTACAGCTAAAAACAAAGGAAGCCAGACTCTCGCAGAAAAAGCTGAAAAACAACTCAGTCAAATCATTCAAGAGAATAAAGATATCCTCAAGGCCAATGATGCCATAGCCATAATAAACTATCAATCAAGGAATGAGGATTTCCGAAATGGCCCAGAATTACCCAGATTATCCTGTCCAGAGCTACTCCCTGGTATTATTAAACAAGATCAAATTACTGACATGCTGGGTTTTCTTACCATTGGAGTGAAGAAAAAGCCTGGAGGGCTGAAAATGATGGATGAACCTGCGATAATAAGCACCATACAAAGCCCTTATGGACTTAACCAGCTGCTTTGGGGAGTGCAGTGTGTGGGTAGAGATAAAATCTTGACCAGTGGAGATGACAACACAATCACGCAAATGGACAGAACCGGGTCCATTATAAAAACAATTCATACAAATGATAATGTGTGGGCAATGACTATTAATATGCTACAAGAACCAGTGTTTTCTTTGGCCAAAAGATCTCCCAATGATATATACATTTATACTAAAAACAAGGTGCAGGTATTATTATTTAGCAAGCCTGACTGGTGTCCTGTTGGTCTATGTTATACAGTAAATGGACATCTACTTGTAAGCATGCGTTCTATGGATGAGACACAAAGTTGCGTGGTGAGGTACTCAGGTATAAAAGAGAATCAAAAGATCCAATATGACAGTAAGGAACAACCTCTGTTTTCCACAAATGTTGGGTTTGTACTTCTGCTAGCAGAAAATGGTAATAAAGATATCTGTGTTGCTGACTCTGCTGGGAAGGCAGTTGTTGTTGTGGATTCTTCTGGCAGATTACGATTCAAGTATCAAGGCAACTTCTCAAGCCAATCAAAGAACACAGAATTTAGACCATTCCACATTGCTACTGATGTCAAATCTCAAATACTGATATGTGAAAACATAAACAGAGTTGTCCATATCATTGATTATGATGGTAACTTTGTTCGTTATATTAAACATCCATGTGATGGTGGACTGAGCATTGATACCGATCACAATCTTGTTATTGGAGATGAAAAAACTGGTAAAATTCATACCATCAAATATCTGAAGTGATGAAGTTTATGATGATGTTTGACAACTGGACAATGGAAATTTAACATAGCTAACTTCAATAGGAATTTTTTTTTTTAAATCCCTAGCTTCTGAATAATCGAAAAAATCGCCTTGTGGACTCAGCTGACAGAGAGTTCTTCACTGAAAAATTACCTGCAAGCCCCCCCCCCCCCCCCCCCATTGGAAAACATGTATTCTTCACACCCATTCATGAAAATGTAAAAAGGATGCAACATCTTCAGCATGATTAATTCTCCAGATGCTTAAAAATATGAGCATTTGCACATTATAAAAACATTGATCATTCAAACTTACAATTCCGAGGACATTGTTTTTTTTTCCTGCAACATAACAAACTCAGGATGAAATGAAAACCTATGAAGTTTTACGAATCAAGTAAGGTTGCTTACTAAAACAATACTGAAGTGCTTTGAACCTTTAACCTACCAATGGAATATTATAATTATAAAGATGGTATGTATAAGGATGGTAAGTGCTACAGAATCAATTTTGATGTCTATTCAGTGTACAATAAATGTTAACCACCGTTTTCTCCAGAATGGTCAAAACTTTTTACTTTGCTGGGTATATGATATGATTGGATTTCTTAAATACACATTATGCAATGTTACTGAAGTTTATCAATGTATTATGCTATTTTTTTTTTCATACAGGAGTAATAAGCCTAATCTGTATATGCTTTTTTTTTTAAATTTCTTAATATGTAGTACCTTTTCTGTCAAAGTGTTTTTATAATGTTTTTCTTACAGCAAATGATTTTTCTTTTGAACTTCTACATCTGGAACATCTATACAGTCAAGTGCAGTAAGACTTTGTTATTTCGAACTCATTGGGACAAAGGGAAAACTATGTTAAATACCAAAAATGTGGGAATGAATTTTTGGTCTTAAACTTTTAAGTAATACAGAATTCATTTTATATAACAAATGAACTACTACGCAGGTATGTTAAGGCTACACCCAGATATTGTACTTAGCTATACAATATGACGTCATAGTAAGCTATACGACGTGAACTTTAGAGATAACGATTTCTTAAAATCTATATTTTAAAATTGATTTGAGGTCTTAGAAATGAATGGAAACATGCAAAAGCTTTATGTAAACACAATTTTGTCGTCTCTGGGTGGTATATATAGAATATCACACTGCTGTTTTGATCTCGGCCCTGGTATCAGCAGAAGGGCGCGGGCCGACACCATTCGAGGGCTGATACCAGGGACGGGATCAAAACAGTGGTGTGATGTTGTTTATATCATATATCTAAAACCAACGGCAATAAAAGAATAAATATTAAGATTTTGCCAACAAAAAGTTTAATTAAATTTTGTCGTTCGAAAAAGTTTGAGTTATCTTTCTTTATTTTCGATGTTCAGATGTTGCTTGACGAAGGTGATTAATCATGTAGAGAAAGAATTTGCCTGACCTGTTCATTAAAAAAAAGAATACCCTTGTGTTTTGAAACATTACATTCTAAAGCATATTAGATTACAAAGATTTAAAGGCCCCAAACTTTAGATAACTCTACTTTCACTTTGGATCGAACCGGTTACAACATATTCAACGAATCGTTACAACTTTCAGGTCTGAGATTTAAAGTTACTGTTTGTTTTGCTGACGATATGTATAATATATATATATATATATATATATATATATATATATATATATATATATATATATATATATATATATATATATATATATATATATATATATATATATATATATATATATATAAACTTAGTATTGTCTTACTGTCAAAGCCAATTTTCAAAAAACGTTGTGTTGATGTTCTAAGTAAACAAGAGTTAACTCTCTAAAGTCACAAATACCATCATTTGGCGCACTTTTTAAAAACATTTTTCTCAATATTCTAGCATAAATAAGGAATTGTTTAAGATTAGGATCTAATTTTAGTATACAAATTTTTTTTTGGAAAATTTGAAATCACAAAATTTTACTAAAATCAATAGCATCAAAACGTGCGTCATTTCATCACTTTATACAACGATTCCCCACGATAAATTGAAGTCCAGGCTTTTTGACATCATAGACAGCTGCTTTGTCAATAAAAATGGAACTTGTAAATATACTTACCTTGTCATTGGTCATTTACAGAGTTATTATGTTAAAAAGCACTATGAGTGTACACACAAGTACATTGAAGTTGATAAGATGCTTGAGTTTCTGATTGACAATATCTATGTAGTTTTTGGAGATCAGGTCTTCCAACAATCTGTTGGAATTCCCATGGGAACCAATTGCGCCCCCGTATTAGCAGACCTATTTTTGTATTCATATGAAGCAGAATTTATTCAAAAGCTTTTACATGAGAAGAAGAAAACACTAGCTGTGGCTTTCAACTCGAATTTTCATATATCGACGACGTAATATCAATTAACAATAGTTACTTTCACTCATATGTCGACTCGATATATCCCAGTGAACTTGAAATAAAAGATACCACACATTCTGACACATCTGTCTCATATTTAGATATTTTACTAGAAAAAGACGTTAATGGTAACCTAACAATCAAGCTTTATGATAAACGTGATGACTTCAACTTTTCAATCGTCAACTTCCCTTACTTATGTAGCAATGTACCCTTATCACCTGCATATGGGGTTTATGTCTCTCAGTTGATTCGATACGCAAGAGCATGCTCTACGTATAAACAATTTTTAAAACGAGGCAAGCTATTGACAAACAAGTTGATGAAACAGGGATATCAACAGTCTCGTTTGAAGTAATCTTTTCGCAAGTTTTACGGTCGATACAATGACCTTGTCAGCACATACAACCTGTCATTGAGTCAAATGCTGACTGACGTTTTTCATACTAATCGTTAGGCCATTATTATGTTCCCCAAACGAAGTTTGGGAACATATTGTTTTTACTCTGTTTCTTATTATTATTATTATTATTATTTTTATTATTATTATTATTTTTCTTCCTGGATACTTTTTTGTCCGTGAGTGATCTCCGAAACTACACATCCGATTGAGGTGAAACCTTTTTAGGGTTACTAGGCATGTTATGTAGATTTGCGGAACGAAGGTCATTTTGCGCGCACGCGCATGCACGTGCGTGCGCGTGCAATGCGTAAAATGACCAATATACTTGAAATAGCTGTAACTTTTATATTTTTTGATGAAATGCTTTGATACTCAGAATATAAGGATATATTAAAAGTATGAACAAGATGACGTGGTCAACATGCACATGCATGCACGTGCGCGCACGCGCAAAGCGTAAAATGACCAATTTACTTGATTGTTTGTAACTTTGAAACTTTTTGATGAAATGCTTTGATACTCAAAATATTTGTATGTATTTAAAGTGTAGACAAGGCGACATGATCATCATGCACATGCATGCATATGCATGCACGTGCGCGCGCGTGCAATGTGTTAAATGACCAATTTACTTAATATAGCCGTACTTTTTATATTTTTTGATGAAAAGCTTTGATATTAAAAATATACAGATATATTAAAAGTGTAGACAAGATGATTTGGCCATCATGCACATGCGCGCGCATGCAATGTGTTTAATGACCAATATACTTAATATAGCCGTAACTTTTATATTTTTTTATGAAAAGCTTTGATACTAAGAATAAACAGACATATCATAAGTGTAGACAAAATGGCATGGTCATTATGAACATGCATACAGGTGCGCGTGCGCGCAATGCTAAGATGACCAATATACTTGATATAGCCGGAACTTATATATTTTTTGATGAAATGTTTTGATACTGAGAATATAAAGATGCATTTATAGTACAGACGGAATGATGTTGTCAACCTGCACATGCATGCACGTGCGCGCGCGTGAAATGCGTTAAATGACCAATATATTTAATTGCCTTATTTAATGAAGCTTACAGGAAATAAGACACCAAAAGGGAGTTGGGGAGCGTTTGGGGAACATCTGTAACGGTCCCCGTTACAATTAATACTAGTTTATACACAGAACTGTCGACGGATTTCTCCGTTATTACCCGATCATGACAAAGAGCATACGGCGGGTGTGACCAGTCGGCAGGGGATGCTCACTCCTCCATGGCACCTGATCCCACCTCTATATTTTGAGGTCCGTGTTTTCTCTGCTTCAAATTTGTATCGTTTCATTGGATTGAATACTGTTCGTTATCTTCATATTTCTTTAACACTTATATGAATTTTGCTTTTAATTCACACAAATTAAACAGAAATTATGGATTAAAATTTGAGGGCGAGACAACCCCTTGCCTTGAGACAGTGATATATCGGCCCTGAGGGCGAAACAGCCCTAGTTCCAAGATACTGTATCAACTAGTCTAATATGCCTGTATCAGGGCTGATACACTATCAAGTATATGATATAAATAGCTATATATTTGTCACGGGGGTTAAATACCATACCCATGACATCATAACTGTTGATCAATATTTGCAGAGTAAAATGAAACCTAACGAGAATTCATGTAAACAAACAAATGGAATCGGCGTTTAAAAGCATTTAACATGAATATCATGCGTGATTCATGCGGAATTAAAGTTTATGAATAAGGTACACTGATTTATTTTTACAATTTCGTCGCACGCTGAAGGCAGACAGTGTTTTTACATCCCGATAAGCCTTTCCTCTGTCATTTGTAACAACAAAGATGCAAAATTTCAACACTACGCCGCATACTTTGAAACATAATTTTTCTTTCTATGGAAAGTTCTTATTCTATAGGTCTTGGAATGTGCTGCTAGAATTGTGTGGTTAACGGGAGTTTATTGATTTTTTTTCGATCTTTAGTACAAAATATAAAAATTTTGTTAAGGTTTCATCCGAAAGTGTGGAATAACTATTTCTATTTCTCTATTTATAGACGTCACATGATGAAGTCGTGGTGGTGTGCTTATTTTAGTCTAAGACTCATTGAAGTCTATAGAATGGATGATTATAGTAAATGTTTTATCCATGACATACCAATGT